GATTCTTTGCGTAAGAGACAGACTAATTTGGGGCAAAACGGATTTCATGCTTTATATATTTTTTGGGTTTTATTTGAAGTTGGATTTGTTTATTTGGTAAAACCATGTTTGGAAGATATTTGGAATTGATGACATGGTGATGAGTTGGCGGATGATTTAACATTGGATGGATTTAACTGGTCATGTCAGATTTTTGTCATCCAAACAGGCAGCAGTTGAAATGGTTCCATCCGGTAAGTGATGAAGTGGAACAAAACGAAGCTCAATAACCAATTAATCACTTGATGAAGTTCAATGAGCAAATCCTAGCATGGTGAAAAGTTCAGCGACCTTTCAAACATTTAACTCTCGTATATCTTGTGTAGATGTCTCTTCCCTCATATGTTTGGTATATTTCTCTCATTTTTTTTTATAATTATATAAATATATATTTTCTAGGCCTATCTGGTGCACAAGTTAGAACCATTTTTTGACTAATGGAAATAGTATAGAAATGCATAGACTTGAATGGTTTTGTCGAATTTTTCTCTTCTTTTAGGGTTTTCGGGTCTAGGTAGATACATGCAACAATAGGTGTAGAATCAGTGGATTCCATGAGATTTGGTATTTAGTTATTTTTTATTGAAAAGATTATGGGATGGGAAAAATTCACAAATCATGTTTTAACTATGCGCAATTCAAAAATAAAGTTTTAGCTAATTAATTAAAAATATTTACTAATTAAATATAGCGAGGTCACATTTATACAATTAATAGTCACATGAACATAATTATAGGTCACAACTTATTTATTGGTCACTTATTATCAAATTAATTTATCACAAATTATTTCGAGGTCACAAATCGAAATTTTTTAGGTCATAGTTTATGTCATTGGTTACAAATCCAAGAAAAATTATAGGTTACAGGTCACATGTTTTTAAATTTGATGGTCACTACTTACTTTTTTAAGTCACAAATGATCGAATTTTAAGGTCACGATTTACAAATCCAAAAAATTATAGGTCACATGTCACATATTTTAAAATTTGATGATCACATATTACTTTTTTAAGTCACAAATGATCGAATTTTAAAGTCATAATCCACCACAATACTTGGACACAGACACTAACCCACTCGCCACAACACCACCATCGCCACCAGCACCACCACCAACATGAAAACTACCACCACTCCAAAAATCAACAAACCTAACTAAAATACCTCAACAACAGCCACCACACTAAGCCAAGCACACCACCCAACCACCACCGCTGCCACTCGGAACCACCACTGCATCCTCTACCACTCCAAAAACCAACAAACACCTAAACACCTCACCAATACACTTCTACACAAAATAGGTGGCGATCACACCACCAACACCTACACCCACAACCACCGTCACTTTCCACTACCTTTACCCCATCACCACTACCACTTTACAGCCAACACGATAACGCCCAAAAACAACCACCTTACCACAAACACCCAGAAAACACCATGTCACTGTAGCTGTTGTGGCGACTGGAGCGCGGACACATATCAAAAAGGAGCAATTTATCCACATTTTTTCCATCCCCAAAAACACATACATGTCACATCGATAATGAAGGCAAGAGGGCGATGGAGATGATGGAGGTGGTTGATCGAAGGGATGATTCGACGTCCGTGCATTACATCGGTGATTGAAGAAGTGAAGGTGACGGAGATGATGGAGTTGATCGATCAAATGGGTGATTCACCATCTGTAAATGAAGGGGTGATTTGTACAACATTGACGGACTGCAGAAATTAATTGGCATCGAAGGTTGTAATCAGCATCGCCCGACTAGTTCTCAGACGATTGGCCCAGCTCCTTCGTTGTCAGTTGCTTGAGTGAAGAGAGAGAAGGAACAAAAAAGAAGATAGAGATGAGAAAGAGGTAGAGAGAAGAGGGAAAAGAAAATTTATTTAGGGTTTGTATTATATTGATACTTGATTTGCAATTCATAAAACCTTTTACCTGAATTTTGAATTGTACTCTTTTACCCCGTACTTTTATGTAGTTTCCACTTATGGGATCCTAATTTAAGGACTAGAAACAAGATAATTTCAATTAATCTTTAGAGAAAATTAGGTCTTATGCATCCCATATCAAAGAACATTGGCACATACGCTCTCATTTGGATAGGGAAAAAAAATGAAACATAAAAATTTTATAATATTAAACTATTTGGGGGCAAAAAGGTAAAATTCATTTTTTTATTTTTTCGATGATCAAAAGTCAACCATTTGACCGAAATTTGACCAATTTTAAAAATGATAAAATGATCTTTTAACGTTTAGCCCCTATCTGGGCTCCATTAAAATGTACTTTTGAAAAAAAAATTATGAGGAAATTAATTTTTTGGAGAATGTGTGATTATATTTTATTGAAAATGTGATTGAAAATTAATTTTGAAAACAAAATGTATTTTTAGTTTAACGTAAACCAAAAAGGAACTTAGTTAAAAAAAAAAACAAAAAAAAAAAGAAAAATGAAAAAACTTCCGGTGGATGTCTCAAAACCTTTAAAAAATATGCAACACGATCACAAATCTTTAATAAGTGCATAAGAAGACCTCTAACAATTTTCATCTTAAATCTGTTGTTGACCAAAAGCAAACGTTTGACTATAATTTGACTAATTTTTAGATGGGAAAAATAGTGTTTTGATATTTAATTAACTAAAACATTATTAATAGAAAAAAAAAATAAAGAAAAAACATTTCTCAGTTTTTTTTCTTTCTATTTTTCAATTTTTTGAATAATTAAATTTTAAAAGGTTACTTTGAACTTTTAAAAATTGGTCAAATGAATGTTAGATATTTGACTTTTGATCAACAAACAGATTTTTAGATGAACATCATTTAGAAAAGGTCTGAAAATTTATTTTAATTAAACGAATATTAAAAAACTATTTTGCTTTTTTGTAAACATATAAATTTATGAACAAATGTAAGTTTTCATCAACTAATGAATTTTTGAATAAAAAATTTCTAGCGATCCTCTTATCGAACATTTTTGAAAATTTTGAGACTATCCTGCATATTTTTTAAATGTTTAGAACATCCACTACAATTTTCCCTAAATATAAGTTGACGTGCCTATTTATAGTCTTTAATGTATGTGGAAATTGTGTACCCAATGAGCTATTATAGACAATTCTACAAAAATGAGTTGATTTGCCTTTATAGTGTTCAATGTCGATGAAGATTGTGAACCAACGAGCTATTCTAGACAATTCCACAAAAATGTGTTTGACTTTCCTATTTTTACAAAATATGTATCTTTATTTTATTATAATCTATTACATTTCTTTTCTTGATTTTTGGTCTATCTAAAATTTTTGCTGATGCAGTATTTGAAGTTCTAGAAATTCTCGACGTTATATTTTTCCCTGTTACTCTTCTTCTTTTGGAGATCCGAATGAAGGTAAACGCTTAATTTTGAAGTTCTAAACATTAATTCTATCTTTATATGGTACGAATCGAAGTTTAGTCCAACTCAATTTTTTTTTTCAATTAATTAAATTATAAAAGATTATTTTGAACTTTTAAAATTTATCAAAATCAATGTTAGATATTTGACTTTTGATCAATAGACAGATTTTTAGATGAACATCGTTTATAAAAAAGTTCATTTGGAAAAATGTTTGAAACCTTTGTTGCATTCCCCTTGTTTTAATTAAATAAATATTAAAAAACTATTTTGCTTTTTTCCAAATATGTCAAAGTATGAATAAACGCGAGTTTTCATCAGCTAACAAATTTTTGAACCAAATTTGTCTACAGATCCTTTTATCGAACATTTTTTTTTTAAATTCTGAGTCTGCTGTGCATTTTTTAAATGTTTAGCACAATCACTACAATTTTCCCTAAATATGATTTGACTTGCCTGTTTTTAGTCTTTAACGCCGGCGAAAATTTTGAACCAAATGATCAGTCCTAGACAATTCTACAACCACGTGCTATTCTTGACATGTCTACACAAATGAGTTAGCTTGCCTATTTTTTAGAAATATATGTATCATTATTTTATTATAATGAGAGCCGGCCCTGAGGCCAAGCCACCTAGGCAAACGCCTAGGGCCTCAGAAATATGACTTTGGCCCAAGACCTCAAAATTCATACCAGCGCCAATGGAAAAGGGTTAACTGTTAAGCGGAAGGAAAGGGATATGCGGTAGGAAGGAAAGGAAATTGAAGTTGAACGGATGGCCCCTTCAATTCAGAATATTTTTGTTGTCCATCTTCAACCAACATTATTTCTAGATTATGCATCCATGGACCATGGCTAGAAGAAACTAGAAGAAACAGGTTTGAGCAACAACCACCGCCATTCTGGAGTTTTCTCTTGCACCGCCTTGGCTGAATAATCTGAAGAAGTAAGAATGCTGAAATTTTTGGTAGAATTGTCTAGATAGTAAATATGTGTTGTATGAATTGTGTGTGTGTGGAGAGCAGTGTGGGAGTGTGAAGAGAATAGGTAGAAAGATAGAGAGACAAACAGTTTGGGTGTATATATATATATATATAGAGAGAGAGAGAGAGAGAACATAAATATATGTATACACGTGTGTGTTAGAGAGATAATGAGTGGGAAGTGCCATGAGTGATAAACCTAATTGTGAGGTGCTGTGAGTTTACAAAATAATTAGTGATCTGGTATGTCTAAATTTGTGTAAAACTCATTTCCTAAGGCATGTCCACTCTTTCTCTCTTTCATGAATCACATGCTTTAAGTCTCTTCAAATTGAGTTTCAGGATCTTAATTATGGACATTTTGTTTTTGCGTTTGGGAATCATCTAATAGACTAAAACATGGTTGCTAAGTGCTATATGTTGTTATTTATTTATATATTTAAGTTTTGTTAGGGTTGTTAAAAAAAGTATTTCTAAGGACCTCGTAATGGTTGGTCGCCTAGGGCCTCAAAAATTCCAGGGCCAGCTCTGATTATAATGTATTGGATTTCTTTCCTAAATTTTTGGGCTATTTAAAATTTTGCTGATGGATTGTTTGAAGCTCTGAAAAATCTCGATTTTATATTATTCACTACTATTCCTCGTTCTTTAGAGCTAAAGTTCCGATTGAAGGTAAATGCTTAATTTTGAAGTTCTAAACATCAATTCTATCCTTATATGGTACTAATCGAAGTTTCATCCGATTCAATTGTACATGCTATCGTACTTTATAAATCATACGAAAAGCTTCTAGTTTTGAGGTGCTGGTTCATTTTCAGGTTGGGGTGGGTTGGCCCTTAAAAAATTGTAAAACGTGATGTAGATTTAAGGAATGATCTAAATTTTGGTTGATTTAGCATAAATATAGATTTTTTTTTTCAGCCGGATAATTAATAAAATGAGTAACAAGGTTTAAAAATTTTAGAGGATCTAATCTAATTTACAAAATGAGTAATAAGGTTTAAAAAATTTAGAGGATAGGAAATCTGTCTTCTAGAAAGAAAAAAAAAAAAAAAAACATTTTTTTGCTTGTTTTAATTGATTATGCTCAACTTGCTTTTATAATTTTACTAGTTTTCTCTAATGCCAGCTTGCTATATTCATCAAGAATCTTGAGTTTGTGTGCCTGGAAACGTATTGGATATGGCTTATGCTGCTCTACTTTCACTTACTCAAACACTAGAACAGATCCTGGGTTCCCGCCCTGAAGAGAAACAGATCAAATCTCTCCATGAAAAGCTTAGCTTCTCGCTATCATTTCTGGATGATTCTTCACCCAAAAACACTGAATCAATGACACGTATGGAAGCAAGAATCAGAGATGCAGCATATGAAGCAGAGGACATAATTGAATTGCATCTGTCAAAAGAGATTCTTTCAGATGGCTTACAGAAGGTAATAAAAGAGATTGATTCCATTTTGGTTGATGTGGAGAAGATGATAGACATGAACGACATAGATGGTTCATCAAAGTCCAGTTCCAATAACAAGAGTGCTGTAGTGGGATTTGATAATGACTCGATGCAAATTAATATTCCGCTCAGTGGACCACCTCCTGAATTCAAAAGTACCTCAATTGATGGAATTGAAAACACATTGGTGATCAAATCAATTAATGTTTAAAGTACATTTCTTTGTCTATTAAAATCCATCACGTTTGCACTTCATGACTACCAATTTACTGTTATTAGTTACATCTTATTTATGTATAATCTTGCTTGAATTACTTTTATTTATATCTCAATAGTTGTTTATCTGCCTTGTTTATTCATAAAAGTTGAGACAATGAAAACAGAGGTGTATGTCTAAAAACTCCATAAGACATCAAAATGCAAATTAAAGGTTGGACGATCAACTTGAAAGAAGAAAATTTAGATTGTCCATGCCATTTTCTAGCCACGAAATTGAATTCCACTATCATTTTAAATCTTGAGAAAAAGGATAAAGGAAGTTGAATGGCAATTAGAAGTTAGATACAAGTTAGTTAAAATGTTGTGCAAAAGAAATATTAATTTTCTCCATCTTTTGAAAAGAATATGGCAAATAATTGAAGTGACCAATTTTTTTAGGGTCATTCAATCAAAATATTTTCTCTATCTTTCAATCTCAATTCTATTCAGGAGAGGTGGTGAAGACTAATGAACAAAATGAAGTAAAAGATCTGCAACTAAGGAACTCGTTGCGCGCTATTTCATCAAAATCTACTTTCACTAAAAAGATTATTATGGTGGGGTTTGAAGATGACTTGCTCCAAATTAAGGAAGAACTGGTAGGTCAATCCTCTAGGTTGAAAATCATTTCAATCGTCAGAATGGGAGGCATTGGCAAGACAACACTTGCCAGTAATATTTACAATGATTCATTTATTAAGCATCACTTCCACATTCGGGCCTGGACAACTCTATCTCAGGAATATCATGTGCGAGAACTGCTTGTAGACCTTCTAAAATCCACGGGAGATTTCATTGATGAAATGAATCAACAGGAAACAGACCAATTAAAAACTCGCGTATATCAACGTTTAAGGGGCAATAAATATCTGATTGTAATGGATGATTTTGGGATGTCAAAGCCTTAGATGAACTTACAAGGATATTCCCAGATGATAATAATGGAAGTCGGATAATTTTGACTACTCGGCTATCCAGTATTGCTGCTAATTCTGACTCTCCTGGCCCTATTCATCATCTGAGTTTTCTAAGTCCCGAACAAAGCTGGAACCTTCTGTGCCAGAAGGCCTTTGTGAAAGAATGCTGTCCCTCTGAACTAGAGGAAATTGGAAGGAGGATTGCAGAAAAAGGCAAAGGACTTCCACTTGCACTCGTAGTAATTGGTGGCGTCCTCTACAAAGCGGAGAAGACACGAGCCAATTGGGAGTATGTTGCAGAAAATGTAAAATCTGCTGTAACTGGAAATTTTGATGATTTCATGGAGATACTCTCTTGGAGTTACAACCACTTGCCTCACCGTCTTAGAGCGTCCTTCCTTTATATGGGAGTTTCCCCTGAAGATTATTTTATCCATGTCACCCATCTTATCAGGTTTTGGGTTGCTGAGGGATTTATAAAGCCAATTACACATAATAATTTTGAGGAAGTAGCAAAGGAGTATTTGGAAGAACTTATTGATAGAAATCTAATAATGGTTCGCCATCGGATTTGCACTGGTGAAATCATAACCTGCAGCATCCATGACAGAATGAGAGAGCTGTGTGTGAGGAAAGCTCGGGAGGGAAAGTTTCTTCACATCACGGATCAAAAAGTTGAGATTTCAACGGAACTCATGAAAAACCAGCGTCATCTAAGTATTCATCGAGATATGCGGTATGACCTATCAGACATATATGACTCAACTATCCGTTCACTTCTATACTTCACAGATAGTCTATTGCCAAATTCTCTATGTTTTCAGCTGCTCAGGGCGTTGGAAGCAGGCAATATAAATTTCTGAGTTTCCAATTGAAATAGTAAAAATTGTTAATTTAAGGTATATTGCTTTGTCCTACACTGGGATATTCAAGATTCCTGTCTCAATATCTAAACTTTGCAATCTTCAGACCTTGATGGTTTTTCGAAATTCTAAGGGTAAAATATTGTTACCAGAGGAACTCTTAAAGATGCCACAGTTAAGGCATCTCTTGTTCGATGAAGCTGTCTTGCTTTGTTCTCATGGTCCACAAAATGCGAACCTACAAGAACTTTCTGGTGTAATAGATTTCAGATTCACTCAGGAGGCCCTTCAAATAATTCCGAACCTGAGGACATTGAGAATTTCTTACTATTGTGACCGTGAAACTGGGTTGTCATTATACTGTCTTGAGAATTTAGTCCTCCTGGAACAACTTGAAAGTCTTAAGTGCAATTTTTGGAGACATATTCCTCTGCTTCAGAACCTTCCCACCAAATCTGAAGAAGTTAACTTTGAGTGGTTGTAGAATTTCTTGGGATAATATGTCTCTTGTTGGTTCTCTTCACAATCTTGAAATTCTCAAACTAAAACACGTTGTCTTTGAAAGCACTTCATGGAAAGCAAAAGAAGGGGAATTTTCTCGATTAAAATTCCTGCTTGTTGACAGGAATTTATTGGAATTCAGGGAAGCCGAGGCAGCACATTTCCCAAGCCTTCAGATCCTATGTCTTAGGCATTGCCCCTTTTTAAATTGCATCCCTTCTGAAATTGGAGAAATTCCAAGTCTTCAGTTAATCATCTTGTATGAATGTCGGTTATCTTTTGTTATTTTGGCACATTCAATGCTAGAGGAGCAACAAGAGTTGGGAAACGATGAACTTGAGGTTCATGCCTTTTCATATTCAGATGGAAAAACTTACCATGGCATCTCCAATCGTAAGGTCAAACTTACCCTTGGGCATAAAGTATCTGTAAAGAAAAAAAATTTCATTGTGCATTAGCTGCAATAGTGAGGACACTTTTTTTTATACAACTTTTGTCTTTCAATGCACTTCCTCACATGCATGCCAATATAGATGCTCATTAAAGGTCTCATAGGTGATAATTTTTCATAAATAAGTGATAGCAAAAGTCGAACTCTGATGTTTCATCTACTCCTATACTATGTTAAAACTACAATATTTCGATTACTACAATACTTCGTTAACCTAGTTTAATATATTAAATAAGGAGGGGCTACACATATACAATTAAATATAAATTTTTGACCCCTTCATTTTTTTTCTTGTTTTGACTCAAAGAATCGTTATTGCATGGATATAGCTTGATTTGACTCAAAGAATAATAATAATAATAATAAGGTGATCTATAGCCTAATTTCTTACAGCAGATCGCCCCTAAATTTAGTCCCCTTCAAACAATTTTAACTTTTAGGTAATTTGTTCAACATGGTCATGGTATCACGTAAAGCAAAATATTAGGTTCAAGCATACCATGAGAAAGTGAATTCGACTTTAAATTGGGAATGGTGAATTTACATTTGGGAAACATTAGTTTAATCAACTTTGTCAATTCTTTTTCTCCTTGACATGCATTTTTGCAGATGTATACAGCACACCAGAAACGCATCATAGAGTACAAACTCTGGTAAGTTCCGTGAGTCGTTAATTTAAACATATATAGCATTCATCGATTGCACCAGAAAAGACTAAACTTTTGGTTTGCTGCTAATTATGTTATTCTTCATTTTTGAAATTAGCTATTGCAGAGGCATAGATTTATTTGCCTGACGTATGTGTTCAAAATCGGAGAATTTCAACTGCTGTCAATTAACTTTTAATGAAATTTTAAGTGGAACAATAAACTTTAATTGTTTCAATCGAGTCCCAAATTTCAATTCAGTGTTCTTATCTTTCTTAACTACAATATAAAATTTCAAACAATTAAGATTTTATTTTTCTTGAAAAATTTATATTGGTTGAAAGGGTGGGCTCGATCATGGAAGGCACTTCATAGTTTCTTTCTTTTATTTTCTCTTAGCAAACTTACAATAATTTATATGCCTCTATCAGGAGTTATGCAGATTATGAGAGAAACTTTGAAGTAAAAAGTCAGATGCCTTCAAAACGGTAAGCTAATTGAGTCCTTTGTGTTGAACTCTAGGCTTTCCCTTTTATAATGGTTCTAATCGAGGGTTTTCTCCTCCTATTCTAAATCCTTTTTTCTTTTTGCATTTAATGATAATAATTTTCTAAGTTCTAGTCTACTTTGAAATGTAATTCTGAATCTAACAAGGGACACCACGTGTACATTGGTAGTTAAATTTCTCTCTTTGTTTTGGAACTTAAAGCAGTATAATACACAATATTGGGTCGAAGTTTGATGTTAACAAAGAGAAAAGTGTCAAAGATGAAGGTTGGGTTTTGAATTATTTAAATACCATTTACTATTAAAAATTAATAAATCTATATGAATTAAGTGGATGTACAAATTGTATTGATAAAAGTTGAACATGGTTAGGATGTAATTAACAAAGGTCTTGCAACATATTGCACCTGTATACAAAATGACATTTTAATTGCACAAATATAAGTTTTTGTTTCAGGAGGCTGAGTTTTTCCCATATCTGACACAGTTGCCATTCTTTATAACCTTGTCGTTACATTATTTAGTGTTACTATGTTCCTGTTAGACCTTGCAAAGAAATCCGCAAGCCTAGCTAACTATTGGCTAAGTATAAAATGATATGCGAGGGGAAAAAAGAAAGAGAAGGCTCGCATAAAAATTGCGAGGCACTTATCATATACTGGATGGCTACAAGTTATCAATAAGGAGCACATGCGCAAATAAATAAAGCATAATTCATAATTGAATCAATTAGAAGATAGCCAACAATGAGCCGCCATTTGGCACATTGTAGAAATGACCAAACTATCCTAATTCTTGGAGGATAATCGATAAATACCACCTCATTTGAAGAAAAGAGCATGCAATTTCGAATCTCTCTCTCAAATAACTATTTCTCCTCTTGTTTTAGTTGAAGCATCAAGATTAGTGAATTTAGGAAGTGAAAGACATAGTTAGGTAAGAGTATGTATTGATTGTATTTACATTGATATTCGATTGCAATTGTTTCATCAATTATTTCATTTGATTCAGTTTGTACTATCAACAAATTGGCACCATCTGTAGAAAGCTTGAGGAAAGTAGACCTCGAATCCCCACTCTTCAACTCAGGGATACGTAAAATCAAAGGAAATGAAACGAGCAAGGATAAATCAACCATTAGCTGCAATTCTATGAGAATCTAGAGAGTAGCATTGTTGCAGCAAATACATGAGTAAATTCTATTTGGAAAACATCTGAAAAATGGTCAATGATTTAAAAGTACTAATGATAGACTTTGCTACACTATGTACGAAGATATAGAACCTACAGGCATATAGAAAAGGTAAATTTATAGGTAAAGCACAATTCCTAACCTCATCAATTACATCTATCGAACTTAGAATCTAAATTTAGGTACCAAAGATAAGGTAGTTTTGATCTGTGCAATAATAGCTGGTTAATGTCTTCATTGCATACTCTAGGACAACGAGAGTACAGATAATGTGCTACACCATGAAGCATTTGACCAGATACAAAAGATTAACCCTCATATTCTTGTGACGGATCGTCACCGCTTCACCAGAGGAGGCTAAGTCCTTCACGGACAGGCCACTTTGTTAGTGAATGATACTTTAGTTTCAACATCGTCAAGGGTAAATTCGTACACAACAAAACCTTGGACAAACTACCTTGAAGCAGGCAAAGATAATCATCTCTCTCCATCATTCGCATGTGAGATATTCCACCAAGGAAGATGAAATGTCTTCAAAGTGCAATTAAGAAATCTTATACAAGAGCTGTAAAAAGTAACAAAGGAGGCTCGAGAGTTCCTAAAAATATTGTCGCTATAGTTGAAACTAGTAACTCTGAGGAAAAATTAGAATTAACGATTTTATCAATCCTTGCAGACTGAGTGTACATTGAAAGTGGTCGTGGTCGAAGAGCTAGAAAGCTTTTCCTTTGGCTCAGAAGGTTCGAGGTGGATAAACTATTGAAAAATAGCTTTTTCGCGAAGCTCGCTATTCAATTTAGGTATGCAATCCAGTTCTAGTACCAAAGAGCAACACAAAATAAATTATGTGCATGTTACTGCAATGCACGAGCTGTTAAGTTTCATGAATGCATATTCGAGATATAACCAAATTCCAATGTATGGACTTGACGAGGAATATACCACATTCATAACTATTCACTACTATGCCGTTACAAAGTAATGTCATTTGTGCTCAAAAGTACGGGGGACAACCTATTAAAGGTTAGTGAGCAAAATGTCCGTGGACGAAATCAGGAAAACGATGAATGTATATATCGATGATATGCTTCTAATAAGCCTTCAGGTTGGACACTACCTGAAATACTTGGAACTTGGAAGGGGCTTTAAATGTATTAAGAAAATACATATCTCAATCCACTAAAATACGCATTTAGAGTAAAATTCATAAATTTCCTCGGTTATATGGTCAACAAGCAAGGTATCAAAGAAAACCTCACAAAAATTTAAGCCCTCATGAAAATGTGGTCCCCATCTAAACCAAAAAAAGTGCAACTCCTAGTAGGAAGAGTTGCTACTTTAAATAAGTTTGAATCTTGAGGAACTTACAGATGTTCCCATTTCTTCCAAATGTTCCAGGGAGGAAAGAAGTTAGAATGGAGCAGCGAGTGCAAATAGGCATTCGAAGCCTAAAAAACCACCTAAGGAGAGCTCCTCTGCTAGTTAAACCCAAAAAGGAGAAAAGCAACTACTATATTTAGCAGTATCCAATGTGGCGACCAGCTCGGTACTAGTAAAAAAAGAAGAGTAAAAACAATTATTAGTTTACTACGAAAGTAAAGGCTTGCAAGGAGTAGAAGGGAGGTATGCGAGTATAGAAAAGTTGGCCTTTACCTTACTCACAGCGTTGCGAAAACTACGACCTTATTTCTAGAGACATAGTATTGAAGTATTAACGAATTTTCTACTCTAATAAGCATTGGAAAAGCCTAATATGTTAGGAAGGCTAATGAAATGGGTAGTTGAGTGGCATTGAGATAAGCTATAAAGGATGATTCGCGATCAAAGCACAAATGTTAATTAATTTTATTATATAATTGTCAGATATTCCAATTTTTGAGGAAGGGCCTGAATGGGGAACATGGAAGTTATCTGTGGATAGATCATCAAGGTATACATCTAAAGCAACCAATAATATGGTAAAATATGAAGCACTATTGCCAAGTTTACGGTTAGCAAAAAAATGTAGGTTCAAAATATTGAAATAAAAAGCAATTTGCAGTTGGTGGTAAACCAAAGAAAAGCGACACTCATAGCCAAGGATAAAATAATGGCTATATATGTCGCCGAAGCCATAAATTGCTCAGGGCTTTGACAAGTTCGACCTTGTCCAAATCCCTAGGGAGGAAAATGAGCATGCGGATACCTTATCAAAGCTTGTAAGTGCAAAAAGAACATGAGCTATTCAAGACAATTTCTGTAGAATGGTTATCGAAAATATCAGTCATCTTATGGATAAAGGATAAAACATCGTGGATGCAAGACATTATTTCCTATTTGAGGGACAAAGCACTTCCTGAGGATAAAAGGGTTCTTGAAGATGAAAAATAAAATCATAAAAATTGCGAATAAGAGCTGCTAGATACACACTACAAGGTGACATCTTATTCAAATGAGGGTACACACTCCCCCTACTCAGGTGCATAAGTAAAGATGAAGCTTTGTATGTAATGAAAGAAATCCATGAAAGTGTATGCGGTAATCATGTTAGTGAACACTCCTTCGCTCAAAAAGCATTAAATCAAGGATATTATTAATCAAATATGAGAAAGGATACAATGAACTTTATGAGAAAGTGTTACAAGTGCCCAACGTTCGCATCTATTCCGTGACAAACCACCTACAGTGGTACCTAACCCTTCACCAAGTGGAGAATCAACTTTGCAGAACTATTATCTAGGAGAAGATCTAATATGAGATTTATGATAGTGGCAGTGGATTATTTTGCTAAGTGGATAGAAGCTAAACCATTTGTGAACATTACTTAAGTCAACATTTATAAGTTCATATGGAAAAAACATTATATGCTAGTTTGGGGGTGCCCAGCCCACCTCAATAGTTTCAGATAATAGAACACAATTTTAGGGATAAAACTGAAGGCCATGTGTGATGAGTTGGGATCTACATATACTCTTTCACTCCATAGTACCCTCAAGCCATTGGTAGGTGGAAGTTGTCAATAGAACACTAAAAATTATCTTAAAAAAAGGAAACTCAATTTGGTGAAAGGACTATAGGCTAATGAATTACCACAGATCCTCCGGGCATACTGAACCACCACAAAATCGCCACTGGACAAACCCTTTTCCCTAGCTTATGGGATGGGGGCTATGTTACCAATAGAAATTGGCGTAAGTTTAGCAAGAAGAATAGGATGCAATGAAAAACAAAATGAGAAATCTATAAATGTGAGCTTAAACCTCATATAGGAAAATGAGATGATTCTCAAATTAAACTTGGAACATACCAGAAAATGATGGAATGATATTTCAACTCAAAGGTTCGCAAGAAAAACTTCAAAGTAGGGAATGCTGAAGAAAGTTTTTGGCGTAGACAAAGAAATGAGCTTCAATTTGCATGGTCAAAAATGGAAAGTAGCATATACTATAACCAAGGTGGTGGGTGCTGTAAAATATAAGACCGCAGGAAATGATGGCGAACCCATTATGCATCATTGGAATGACGTGTACTTGAGAAAATATTATCAACAAAATAAAAATCAATTCTTACGAACTTAGTAAAGTCAATATTAATCGCCAAAGTACTTTTCTGTAATGCAAAGCCAGCCGAGTTGTCTTAAATCTATTGAGCAAATCGAAAACAATATTAAACAATGATTGCGAAGTAGTAAATGTACAAAATGAAATTTCTTATTAATCGAAAGGAAAGCTACAAGGCAAGTGATACTTGCGAACTATATCTATTGCATAGCTGAAAATCATGTTATTCGAAGTAGAAACTACTAGTTATAAGTCTTGATTTGTGAAGTAAAAACTATTACGGGAGGCATGTCATGTGAATTAAATAA